GAATTCCCAGGCAGGAGCCGCGAAGCTGGGGCTGGGCAGCTGCGGAGCGTATTGGTGACAGACAAGGTGTGATGTTCCCGAGCAAACGCCTGACTCTGGTCCCAGCACCGAGCGCAACACCAGCCTGGAGCCACGCCAGCTCGGGCAGGAAGTCGGCGGCATCAGGCTGGTTTTGGGCTGGCCCTCACCTGTGGGCCTGATCCTGTCTGTGGGGCCTGTTGCCGAGGACTCGCTGCTTTGCGCCCCAGCGTGAGCATGGCAGACCAGAAGGGGCCCTGTTGGTCACCAGCTCCGGCCCCACAAGTGATGGAGACCCCTGGATGGCAGGGGGGACAGGCGGAAAGACCAGGCAGCTACACAAACCCCGGGGTTCCTTCCCCTTCGGCCCCAGGGCCAGCGTCTCTAGCGCTACGATGGGCGTCATTGCTTCTGATCCACGTTTCTGGGGTGTCTCAAGCACCAGCCGGAGACACCAAGGGGAAAGAGACTCGCCAGGCTTCATTTCATCGCAGGAGTCCGGGAGCTGGGGCTTGACAGGACGCCGCGAAGAGCCTCAGCCTGGCGAGAGGGGGAGAGGTTGATGTCATATATCTGGACAGGGGGGAAGAAGTTAATGTTGTATTTTTGGATTTTAAAGAAGTCTTTGACTTGGTCTCCCATGATGTCCTCATGGCTAAATTGGGGTGCTGTGGCCTTGACAACCTCATGGCCCGATGGCTGGGAACTGGCTCCGTGGTTGGAGCCGGAGATGTTAGTCGATGGAACCAAGTCAATGTGGCGCATGGTGACCAGTGGCGTCCCTCAGGGTTCAGTACTCGGACCCGTACTCTTTAATATATTCATTAACGATCTGGATTCAGGCGTCAGAAGCAGACTGGCTAAGTTCACAGATGACACCAAACTGTGGGGAAGCGCAGTTACACTTGGAGGATAGGCTGAGGATTCAGGCCGACTTGGACAGGCTCGCAAGGTGGGCGGATGAAAACCTGATGACCTTCAATATAGAGAAATGCACCATACCAATAGGCTCAGCGGTGCTTCACTCACTAGCACTATGTCCGAAAGAGACTTGGGGATCATGATTGACCACAAGATAAATAGAAGCCCCCATTGTGATGCCGCAGCCGGCAAAGCAAATAAAACCCTGGCTTGCATCTACCGAGGCATCTCAAACAAGATCCAAGACGTCATTTTCCCGCTTAATTGGCCTTGGTGAGGCTGCAGCTGGAGTACTGCATCCAATTCTGGGCTCCACGCTTTTAAAAGGATGTGGAGAAGCTCAAGAGAGTCCAGAGGAGAGCCACGCGCGTGATCAGAGGTCAAGAGAGCGGGCCTTATGAGGAGAGGCTGAGAACTATGGGACTCTTCAGCTTGGAAAAGCGCATGCTCCGAGAGGACTTGGTGGCAGCCTATAAGTATATCAGGGGGGTACATCAGGACCTGGGAGAAGGTCTGTTCACCATGGCTCCCCTAGGGAAGACAGGGAGCAACTGTTTTAAACTGCTGGAAGACCATTTTAGACTGGACATAAGGGAAAACTTCTTTACTATCCAAGTCTCCAGAATCTGGAATAGACTCCCCCCAAAAGTGGTGTAAGCACCTACTCTGGACACATTCAAGTTGCATCTGGATGCTTATCTTGCTGGGGTAATCTGATTCCTTCTCTTTTGGCAGTGGGCTGGACCCGATGATCTCGGGAGGTTCCTTCCAGCCCTAATGTCTATGAAATCTATGACAAAACCCCCCAGCCAGGGCCACCACCACACTGAGACGCCGGCTGCGACCCCAGTGCTGCACTGTTTCTCCAGTGCCTCTGATGCGTAAGCCCATTTCACCAGGGCCAGTGATGCCAGCTCTGCTCCAGGCAGCTGGGCACTAGTGTCTTCATATCAGCACATCTCCCAAGTGCTTTGCTGGTATTGCCATGCCCATTTTACAGGTGGAGAAACTGAGGCATGGAACAGGGCAGGGACTTGCTTCCTGTCACCCTGCAGGCTGGGGGCAGGGCTGGGACTAGAACATGGGGCCCGGGTGCCCATCCTCTAGGGAGCATGTCACGGGACCTTGAGCGGAAGGGGGCAGCCTGAGGCTCTCCAGGACAGAGGCTGCATGGGCTCTTTGTACATGCAGCACCGAGCGCTGTGGGACAGGGGCCATGGCCAGGGGCACATAGCACTGTGGCCTGGTTTCAGCCTCGCTCAGTCTGGCGAGGGCTGGGGCTTTGCAGCATCCATGATCCCCTTTGTCTCACCACCCCCGTCAGTGCAGGCGGGGGCAGGATCAGGCCCGCGGTGCCAGGCCAGAGCAGAGCTGAGCGCCTGCCAAGTTCCCCTGCCGTTGTGCCGCAGCCCCCATCCTCTCCCTCCCCTGACTGCATTAGCCTGATTAAAGTGCCTCGTTAGGCTCCTATTGCTGCATCCAGTCGCTCTCCCGGCGCCTCCTGGGGCTTCTCGGGTGCTGGCAGCACCCTGGTGCTGGAGCTCCGCTCCAGAAAGGGTGCTGGGGCCAGAGCAACACCCACTCTCCCCAGGGGCTGGACCCGTCACCCATGGGCTGGACCCGGGACTGTTGCCCGACCCATGGGCTGCTGCGCGCTCACTCACGCCTTCCTCTTCCTGGTGCCCCGGCCTGTTTCCTCCGTGCTCGGGGCTATCCGGTAATAACCCCCTCTCCTGCCTTCCCTGGGGCGACCCTTCAAAGAGATCTGGGCCCGAGTTCAGCCTGGTCAGGGGTGCCACGTGCCCACTGCAGCAATGCAGCCTGCTTGGGGGCGGGGAATGTGCCAGAGGCTTTGGTGATACCTGGGGCACTCAGCAGAGGAGGGCACGAGAGTGGGTTGTGGGGGGTTGCTGCAGGGGCAGGTTTCACTGCCACAAGCCAAGTTAACTGTTCCTTTGGGTCATGCCCACCCAAACGGCAGCAGCCTGGGCTAGGGGCTTGTCTGGGCACCATCGTGGGATCAGGGTGAGACTGGAGCTGAGCCCTGGTGCCGGCGGTGGTCCACGGAGCTGTACGCACCCACAGAGGTACGGGATGCTACCCCAACCCCCCAGTCTAGGTGTATCTACCTGCTTCCCTGGTACAGCCCATGCCACGGCCTCCAGCTGGCATCTAAACCTTCTGGTTGCAGCACTGGAGACCAGTGGTCCCCCCCGGTCTTCTCTCTGACAGCCCCGCAGCTCTAGGCAGACGGCTGGCATGTCCACCCCTCTCCTTGCCACTTCTGCATACTAAAGGGGCCCAGTTGTTGCAGCCCTCACCTGGCTGCCTACAGCCCCCTCCATCGTCATCAGAGACCAGCCATGGGGGCAGATTAAAGCCCAAAGTGACACCTCCTGTGTGGCTCAGGCGCCGGATCGTGGCCCTGCCGTCCTCCAGCCGGGTGGCATTGAGATGCGCCAGGCTGGCTGGCTGCGCTTCCACTGCTGACATCATGCCCGAGCGCAGGGCAGGCGATGGCTCCCATGCCAATGAGCCTGTCTCCCCACCGCCTCCGCCTTCGTGATTCGCCCCCTCCCTGCCCAGCCACATCAGCGCGGCTCATCCCTCACTTTTGCTGTCTCCAGTTAATGCGTGTGCTGGAGCTGAGCCATGGGGACACTCAGAGAGATTACCCACTGCCACAGGCTGGAGAAGCCATCGGGGACCCATGTTCCTGCCACGGGGGGCCTGGAGGGAGGGGGCACAGCCCCTTCTCTGCACTGCTCAGCCCATTGCAAGACCACCTCTGCACTAGGGCTGGCCAATCGGCAGTGCCAGCAGCCCAGGGGTTAAACCCACCACCAAATTTCCGGGGAAAGATCCCTGCTGGGGATGCGGCCAGTGCATGGGGGCCAGCTCCCTGCCCACTGGGTATCTCCCCGGCCTGGGTGTTCTCAGCTTGAGCCTCAAGCCCTGGGATGGATCCAGGCGGGTACACTTCACACCCCGCTTGTTTAGACCAACTACCCGGGAGAGGCAGCAACATTTCTATTCAGACAGGGCTCAGGGAGTCCACTGACCTCCTGGCTCACTGTCATCCTCCTGATTCCTGCTAATCTCGCCACTCCACAGGTGTTAAGGCCCCTCTCTCCTGTGTACTACCCTTGATGTTCCACCATTTGAACTAGCCTGTTGCTGTCTGTCTGCCTTTCCCGGTAACGTCTCTTCTATTTCCCAGCCCTGCCAGTTCTCTTTAGCCCTAGCTAAAAACCTTCCCCCAGGTATGGACAGATTCACTGAGGGGCAGAAATGACTGATGGCGGAGTATGGGAGAGGCTGCCAAGATGCTGGAGAAGGAGAGATTTTGTTTTGTGAATCTGAATGAGAGAGGTGCATTTACCGAGAACGACTGTGGGGCTAACAACGCAATATCTCTTTGTGCCCAGCTTGTGGTGAGGGGTTTTTTTTTTTAAACTTAATAGGTAATCTAGCAAATCAGCACAAGTGCCAGTACTTCTGTTTTTTGCAACAGGATAATACCGCACTCGGTAAAGCTTCATACGTGCCTCTCCTGGGCTCTGATCCGTGCACAGGGCTGGTCCCAGGCCCTCCAGGGTCCTCAGGAGCATCCAGCCTGTAGCAGCTCCCCCTTGTCACAGACCTTCTCATGCCGTGCCTCAGTTTCCCCTCTATGAGAATGGGACCCTTGGAGGTCAGCGGAGTGGGGAAGCGCCCGGGGGTGCTGAGTGAGGCGGCTTGTTTTTGTGGCCAGCCTGGGAGCCACGAGCCTGTGATGCACCTGTCACTTGCCCGAGCGGTAGGGTGGGGGGCATGAGTGCAGAGGATCATGGGAGATGCAGGGAGGCTGGGCTCTCTGTGTCGGCGGGTCCATGGGTTTAGAGGACGCCCATCCCAGCCTGGTAGCGCCACGCTGGCCGGCCAAGGCTCTGGTGATGAGCTTCAGCTGAGAATGGAGATGGGCAGTGAGGAGGGGGCTTTCACGGCCTCAGTGCTTCAGTTTCCCCACTCCCCAGGCTCTGTAACTACAGGCTACTCTTGCCTTGCAGGACTCAGGGAAGATGGTGCCCGGGGCGCTGTGGGCCCCCTCCTCCGCCTGGGCTGGCTGGCAGCCCCTCTTCCTCCTCACACTGGAGGCTCTGCTGCCCAGCCCCGCTTGGGTCTGCCCGGCCCGCTGTAAGTGCTCCTCCCAGGACAGGTCCGTGCTGTGTCACCGCCAGAACCTGGCAGCTGTGCCCGGCAGGATCCCCCCGGCCTGCGAGCTGCTGGATCTGAGCCACAACCGCCTGCGGACGCTGCAGCAGGGCATGTTCTCCCGGCTGCAGGCCCTGAAGGAGCTGGACCTGAGCGAGAACGTCATCTCCAACATCGAGCCGGGCACCTTCAACAGCCTCCAGCGCCTCATGACGCTGAGGCTCCGGGGCAACGAGCTGAAGATCGTGCTAGCCGGCGTCTTCGCCGGGCTGCCCAGCCTCACCGTGCTGGACCTCAGTCAGAACAAGATCGTCATCTTCCTGGACCACGCTTTCCAGGACCTCGCCAGCCTCCGGCACCTGGAGGCCAGCGACAACCACCTAGTTTTCATTTCCCCCCGGGCGTTTGGGGGGCTCCGGCAGCTCCGGCAGCTCACGCTGGAGCGTTGCAACCTGACGGGTGTCCCCACAGGGGCCCTGGGACAGCTGCCTCACCTGGGCGAGCTGCGGCTCAAGGTGCTCAACATCAGCGTCCTCCGAGACTACTCCTTCCGTCACCTCCCCCGCCTGCGGGCGCTGGAGATCAGCCGCTGGCCCTTCCTGACCACTGTGGAGCCCCACAGCTTGCTGGGCTTGAACCTCAGCTCCTTGGCCATCACCAAGTGCAACCTCAGCGTCATCCCCTACGAGGCCCTCCAGCCCTTGACGTACCTCCGCTGCCTGGATCTGTCTCACAACCCCATTGCTGCCATCCACGGTGGGAGGCTGGCCCAGCTCCTGCGCCTGCAGGAGCTGCACCTGGCGGGCGGGCAGTTGGCCACTGTGGCAGCCCACGCCTTCTGGGGCCTGAGCCACCTTCGCCTGCTCAACGTCTCCGACAATGCCCTGCAGACGCTGGAGGAAGGCGCCTTCCACACTGTGGGCAACCTGGAGACCCTGCGCCTGGACGGGAACCCGCTGGCCTGCGACTGCCGCCTGCTGTGGGTCGTCCGGCGCCGGCGGCGCCTGAGCTTCGAGGGGCGGCAGCCAGCCTGCGCCAGCCCCACGCTGGTGCGCGGCCGGAGGTTCAAGGACTTCTCAGACGTCCTCCCATCTGGGCACTTCACCTGCCGGAGGGCAAAGATCCAACCTGAGGCCCCACAGTGGGTGAGCGTGGAGGAGGGGAGCAAAGCCAGGCTGCGGTGCCAGGGGGATGGCGACCCCATGCCCACCATCACCTGGCTGTCTCCCCGCCAGGCCTGGCTGGACACTGGCCTTCGGGGCCGGGTAAGGGTGCTGCCCGATGGGACCTTGGAGATTTTCTACGCCCTGGTCCAGGACAGTGGCACCTACTACTGCGTGGCCAGCAACGTGGCTGGCAACGACACCATGGCTGCCCACCTGCTCGTCTATGACCCGTCCCGCTGGGCCAACGACACCTTCCCCCTGGCCAATATGAGTGCCAATGGCTTGGGGGCGCCGGTGGTTTCCCTGCCGGGCCTTGGCATGCTGCTGGGCGCCGTGGCCATGGGTGCAGTGCCCTTCCTTAGCTCTGTGGCTGTCTGCTTCCTATTCATCTTCCTCTGGAGCAAGGGCAGGGGTCGCGTGAAACACCATGCCACCTTTGAGTTTGTCCCACGCTCCCCCGGTGCACCACGGGGCAAGCCCAGCCACGGCGGCCGGCTGGCCATGAGGTTCACGTGAGCCTCCGTGGGGCAAAGGTGAAACGTGGCAGTGGGGGAAGGGTGCCATTCCTCTCCTTCCTCTCCGAGCCAGGCATGGCCCTCCACTCCTTCACCTTCTGCATCCAGCAATTAACCCGCTAAAATCAGCTTAATTAACCAACTCCCCAGACATGCAACTCGGCTGGGTTCTTCCACCAAAGCCTTGGCTCTCATGCTTTTGCTGCCAGGAGAAAAAGGAGGTGACTGGGGAGGGGGGCCACATGCTCATGCCTTCCCCCATGGGGTCTTTGATCCCAGCCCAGCCTGGGCAGAGGGGCTGGTCCCGTCTCCGGGCTGATGTCAGGGGGATGCGCATGGCTGGGCTTGGAGGTGCCGTGTGGTGCCTGTAGAGCCAGGACAAAGTCAGGGCCAGCTATGGTGGGGCTGGGATGGCCATGGGGACGTGGTATCAGGGCACTGGGAGCCTCTTTCTCTCTCCTCAGAGCAAGCTGGGGGGCCTGGCAGGGGCTTTGGCAGCTGTGCCGCGAGGATGGGGATGGGGAAGCTGCTGTGGTGGATAAACACCGAGCTTGCCCATGTCTGTCCCAGAGCCATCCTTGCCCCTGATCCTTGGGCAGCTCCCAGCACAGAGCCTGCCCCCGCTCACCCCGCCCCTCCAGCTGCCACGAGTCCTTAACAGCCGGCTAAAGAAACTACAGCCTAGTCGGGCCCACGGGGCTTCAAGTCCCATCTGATGTTTCCTTGGCCCGCGGCGGGGGGCCCAGCTGTCACCACTTCCAGCCAGGACCAACTGGCCTGCCGGTCACAAAGGAGTTAAACCTCGCACCCACCGGGCAATGCAGGTAAGGCGCCTTATCCCCAGGTTGCAGAAAGGGAAACTGAGGCACGGAGAGGGCAGGAACACCAGGAGAAAGCCGCACTGAGCTGGGGGCCGGGTAGTCTTGATGGCTAACCAGACCAGGTCACGCCAGGCCTGGTAACCTGCCACCGCCTTGGTAGCATTTCAGAAGGTTGAACACGGTGAGCACCGCTGCGGGGTTCACCAGCTATTTAAAGGGCTGGTGCTATTTCTCTGTATCCTAGGAAGTGGCTTTGGCAGGGGCCAGGAAGAGCAGTCCCATCCTGGACCTCCTTCCTGAGCTTGTACTTTGGCCGTAGGACCCGCCTGTGGAAATCCCCCTGCAGCGCAGCCCAGGGGGAAGCGGCACGGGGAGGGAGGCTTTAAGGCTGCGCTGTGTACGGATATCTGCCAGCCCAAGGGACTTCCCTGCGCTTTCCAACCACAGCGACACCTGGCATCACTTTGTGCATGCGCACACACATACAGACACAGCACACACACACAACACACAGAGCACAAAAATACACAGTGCACGTGCAGCACACCTACACAAAGCATACACGTGCATGGCACACAAAGCACATGCACACACAGCATACGCACACAGCACACACACATAAATGTACAGCAATACAGCGCGCACACAGCACACCTAAACAGCACATACGGGGCACAAACACACACAGAGCACATGCATGCAGCACACACACAAATGGACACAGCACAAAAATACAGTGCACATGCAGCACACCTACACAAAGCACACATACACACACAAAGCACACATGTACCACTGTCCTGCTGGACAAGCTGATGCAAAAACATGTCCCCTAATTCCCTGTGGAGCAGGGACGAGGTCCTGCCTCTCCATCAACCCCCAGCCAAGACCGTGTCCAATCCATGGCAGGTACATTGCCGTACCCCTGCCCTGGAGGCCTGGAAGAAGGGGTCTCAGTATCCCTGGGTCCCCGTTGCTCCCTTCCACACCCTCCAAGCATCTCCCCTGTGGCAACAGAGGCAGGCGGGATGTGGCTCAGGGGGTCCCTCTGGTGGCAACCCGGGCTGCTGACAAGCCTGAGCAAAGCGGGTCCTTGTGGCTTGGGGGCCTAGTTCAGATCCTGGCCCCAGGCTGCATCCAGCCACAAGGTCTGGGGTGCAGGGAGGAACCCGCATGGTCTTTGCTTTGGGTTCTTGATGCCACATTGGTGGAGGGAGAAAACGGGAATGTCTGTAGCCCCCACCTGCCTTCCCACCCCCAGGGCCACGCATAAGCCACTGGGATCTGGAGACACTGCTGGACCCGGGGGGCCAGGTCTGCCCTCACCGCCTGTCCCAGAGCTGGGAGACAAACCCAGGAGTCCCGGTACCCAAACTTCAACCGCCCAAAAGGCAGGGTTGAACCTCAGAGTCCTGATGCCATGGACCTCCCCGGGGGGTCCAGCCTACAGCCAGACCTCACTACTCCCTGTTACCACAGGGGAAACTGAGACACGGGGGGGGTGGGGGTTGCCCCCCTCCATCTTGCAGGTTGTCAGGCCTTGCTGGAGTCACAAGAGTCATTGTGGGTTTTTTTGCAGGCACCCACCAGCCGCACAGCTGGGGACCCCTTCGCTAGGACCTAAGGGGCATGGCCAGCATCACCCAGCAAGAGCTGGGCACGGGACCCAGGAGTCCTCAGCAGCTGAGTCACGCAGCTCCCCGCACCTGCCTGTCCCCACTTCCCACTCAGAGGAGAGCCTGGGCGATCTCGGGGCAGGGACTTTTCTGAGGTCACCGGCTGGTGGGGAGAGCCAGGTGTCCACGGGCAGTGCTGACAACGCCCTGGCACAGCCCAGGCCCCCACATGCATGGTGCTGTACACAAGGCTGGATCATGCTCCGCAGAGCTCAGGGGTCAAGTCTGAGCCTAGAGGCATCGTGTGGGGGCAGAGGGGAGGGAGCAGCAGGCTGGGGTCAGCTGGGGCTAGTTGCCAGCTCCCTAATTACCCCCAGGCAGCCCCAATTACCAGACAATTAGCCTCCCAACAGCTTTTAGCCTCCTTTGGTGGTGGCCCTGGCCCTGGTGTGTGACCCCCAGCTCTGGACATATCTCTACCTCCTGGATCCCGGCCTTGTCTCCCTGGCATCAGCCCTGAGTGCCTGCAGCCCAGCTCCCCCAGAGCCGCTGGGGCCGGTCGTAGCTGGGACACCCCACATCGAACCCTGAGGCTGAGTTCCCATGACTGGGTGCTGGGACCGTGGCTGTTGGGTCCAGGTGGAGCAGAAGAGGCCCTGAGGGCCACATTCAGTCCACAACTGCTGGAAGCCGGTGGGGTCTGGAGCAGCTGCAGCCTTCTCCCTGCTACGTTTGCTCAGCGTCTGTAGCCAATAAAACCCTCTTGCTCGGCTCTCTCTCTTCTCCCTCCATCTCCCCCCCACCCCAGCCCCTGGAGCACGTGGGGTTCAGGCTCCAGCAGCCCATGGTGATCTCTGCAGACCTGGCAGGATGCTTGAAACCCATCCTCCCCCCTTGTCCCACAACCCCCCTAATAGTCCCTGCTCAGGGATCCCAGCTGGCCTGCTGTGCCTCAGTTTCCCCACTGGTATGACAGGCAAAGCTTGCTCCCCAGCCGGGGTATGGGGGGGTGGGGCTGAGATGTGCCGGAGCACCCACAACCCTGACAGGGGGAGAAGGGAAACATGGAAGAGGAGTCCACTGGGCTCCCAGCCATGTGCCAAAGTAACAAGGTGGGGGTGTGCGTGCGCAGAGCCCCCTCCCCTCCTGTTGCCAGGACAAAACCCAGGAGTTGTGACTGTATCCTGCAGTGTGCGTGTGTGTGGTCTGTATCCTGCACGTTATGTGTCTTGTGTCTTACAGTGTGTGTATATGTGTACGTGTGTGCATGCATGTCCTGCAGTGTGTGTATACGTGTACATGTGTGCATGCATGTCCTGCAGTCTGTGTATACATGTACGTGTGTGCATACATGTCCTGCAGTCTGTGGTTGTCACCTGCAGCATTCACCAACCTCCTGTCGAGGGACCCGGTGCTCCCTGGACCAGCCCCAGTTGAGCCCAGGCTGTGGCTGGCCTGGGTCTGGAAGAAGGCAGCATCCAGGGACTGGGAGGGCTGCATGCTGGGAACCTAGGACCCGGCGCCCAGGTCAGCATCCTGGAGCAGCTGGCTCCCCTGCCATCACCTTGCTGCATATCCCCAGAACTGGGGCCTGAACCCAGGAGTCCTGGCTCCTAGACCCCATCTCACCGAAAGCCCCCTCATCCCAGAGCTGAACCCAGCAGCCCTACATGCAGCCCCTCGCTGATCCAAAGTCTCCGGCCCCTGGATGAGAACCGAGGTGTCTGGGCTACCAGTCCTGAACCCCAATTGCAGCCTTCAAGGGTGAGTGAGCCGGAGGGCTAGAGCCGGCTGCAGCCTCTCTCGGCCCGACAGGAGGCACTGCTCTCTCCAGTGGCCTCCACTGCCGGGAGGAACAGCAGAGCTGAAGGGGCGTCCCCCCGGGGCCTTTGGCACCCAGATCTACCAGGACCCCTTTAGAAGCACTTGGCTGCAGCCTCGTTTACCCCAGGGGCACAGCTGAGGCCAGAATTAGCCCCCATTTTGGACTCCCCCCTCCAACAATTGCCACCGTGGTGCAAAATGACTCCCAGGTTCCACCCCAGAAGCAAAACTTGGGGGTGAGGCGTTGGCTTTGGGCTGGACCGGGCTGGAAACAAAGGAAGGATGGAGACGGGGTTAAGAACGATGCACTCTGCTTTGGGACCCACCAGACCTCGAAGTCTCCATCAGCAAGGAGAGCAGCGGGATAAAGGGAGCAGAGATGGGGCGGGGGGTGGGGGGCCTGGCCTCCACCCACGCTGTTTTCACAGCTGACTTCCCAGGAGGCCGTTGGAGCTGAGAGCCCAGTGCCGGCAATCCCCATCTCACCTGCAGCTCCCTTATGCTGGGGGACCGAGCATCTCTGCAGAGACGGGCCCTGAGAGCAGGGGCTCAATGCCTGAGCTACAGGGCGACTTGCAGGATCTAGCCTGGTCTGAGAGCCCTGCCCACAGCCTGTCCCGCCCCCCCCCTCATCCTGGCAGGCTGGAGCAGGAGGCTTCAGTCATCCCCCAGTCTTCATAGTCTCTCCCATGGTGCCTTCCCTGCCCGGAGGCGGGGGCACTCCCAGCCCCTGGCTCTATCGCCTGCGCTGCGTGACTCTCTTGGCTGAGGTGGTGCATAGGCTTGCTGCTCCCTCGCCTCTCAAGACTGGGCTGGCCTGGTCCTGTTCAGTCCCTGTTATCCACTACAGCAGCCTCTACTCTGCTGTCCCTGGACACAGTGACTAGCTGCCCTCCACAGCACACCCCAGCCTGAGGGATCCTCCAGGGGCTATCTGGACTCAGTTCACAGCCCCTGGCACTGCCAGCATGGCCCCAACCAGCCCTAGTGTAGCAGAGACCCCGGTACCTCCAGGGTCCTAATGTGCCCGTCCACTTGGCATCCAGCCCCTTTGACCCTGGTCTCTGTGGTGGGGGATCTTTACAGCTGGATTCTCCCCCTTTGGGCACCCAGTCCGTCACAGAGGGGGGCTGGGGGAGGGAATCTGCAGCCTACCCTGCCCCAAGGCCTTCAGCTTCCCCACCTAAGGGAGGGGGGTCATGGCCAGCCTCAGAATGGGATGGGGGTCAAAGCAGGACGGGGCCAAATACAGAGCTGGGGGCTGCATGCCCAGGACCACCCCGCCCCAGGATCAGGCCCCCCCCCCCGGGCTTTCCCTGTCACCTTCCGAAGCCGCAGGAGCCTTTTTGCAAGGCTCTTCCAGGGCTATTTTTCTCCCCCCACCCACATTTGCTCTCCTGTCTGCTGACGTTACAGCTGGTTCAGGACCAGGGGTATAAAACGGCAGGAGAGAGGCAGGCACGGAGCTGGAGACACGCATAGAGGCAGAGCCAAGCCCAGCTGCTGGCTCAGCTCTGCTCCGCTCTGCAGCCAGGCTCCCTCTGCAGAGCGCACACATGATGAGAGCCCTGGGCTTCCTCCTCCTGTCCCTAGGCTGCTGGGCCCAGAAGATACCCCGTCTGAGGTTCACCCTGCCAGGTGAGACGCGGGCAAGGGCACCAACTGGTGCCTGGTGGGGCTGGTGCGATGCCAGGGATCTTTGGGGTTGCCCCTCCAGGGATGGGGGAGGCTGGTTTGGGTGGGGGGTGTTGGGCTGGGGGAAGGTCTCCTGGGGCTGAGTCTACCCAAGAAACCTCTTATTTTTATATAACGTGGTTTGTTTCTGGGCCGGGGGGCATGGTGCCCCCAGAGCAGACAGGTTGGCATTGCCAAGGGAGGAGGGCCTTTCTTGCTGCTGGGACCTGCGTCCCAGGGGGGTCCACGCTGGCTGGGGCAGGGGCAGGGGCAGGCGGGCAGGTCTGTGCACGAGGAGATTCTCCTGCCTGCTGCTGGCACCCTCTGCAATGCAGAGGAGCCTCGGCTGCTGCAGCCTCTCTGCCTTACTCGGAGAGAGCTGCTGGCAGGAGAGTCAGATGCACGCCCCGTCCACCTGCCCACCACCAAGCCATCCCTGCCCGCTGGGGTGGGGGGTACAGAAACCCCCTGGGGTCTGCCGCGGCGCGGCGCCTCCGCAGTCGTCTCTGCAGCCTGGTGCCTCTGGGTTCCTCCTCTGCAGCTTGAGATGCACAGAGAGAGATGGGGGGAAATACCCCCCACCCCCAGGCCCTCTCCCCCAGCCCCAGCCCACTCCCTTCTCTTTCTTGCCTCCCTTGGGAAGATCAAACCCGTTGCAGCAGAAGGGAGAGGCTGCAGCTCCACTCCACGGAGGACATTGGCCCTGTGGGGGAGGGTGAGCCCGAGGAAGAGAAGGAGCGGGGGTTTGGGTGGGCATAGGAGCTCCCTCCCCTCCAGTCCCCACCTGGCTGCACCCCAGCTCCCCCCACCCCAGTCCCCACCTGAGCAGTTCAGGTGACAGCCACCACAGGCACATCCCGTGGCCGGCTGGAGTCAGACCCCAGCCCCAGGGTCCCAATCCTGGCCTGTGGCAGCCCCAGACCAGCTCCAGCCCTAAGCCAGGCGCTCTCGCTGCTGGATCCGGAGAGGATTCACCCTCCAGGCCCCAGGCTCATCTGGCCCAGAGACCCCACATCTGGATTAGGGGAGCCTGGGCCCATCAAGTGCTGGGATGGGTTAGTCCTGTGCACCCCCAGCTCACGCCCCATGGTGCCTTCTCCAGCCAGCAGGAAGCTGAGGCCATGCCCTGCTGCATTGGAGCCAGTGGCCCCCCCGGCTCGATCCCAGGCTGGCATTAATGCCCTGCAGTGACCTGGCTGCTCCCTCCCTGCTGGAGTTGGGGGTGGGAGGGATGCCAACTGCAAGCAGTGTCCCTTGGCTCTGTGCCCCCTCCAGCAAGGCAGGGCCCTGCACGGGTTTGAGCCCCCCCACCACTGCAGTGCAGGGCGTGTCCGGAGAGGCCGGGCAGGTCCGACAGGCAGCGCCAGCCCCCTGGCCCTGTTGGTATGGCGCTGCCCGTTCAGCACCGCAGACCTGCATGGGGCTGGACCCCAGAGTCCCCACTCCCCGCGGCCCTGTTCCCTGCCCAGCACTCATGTGGTTGCTGTCGGCAGCTGGAGCAAAGCGCAGACTGGGCAGCTACAGGCACCCTCCCTCACACCTCCCAGAGACGGCTCTGCAAAGAGCTCCCTCCCACCCCTGGGGGGTTTCTGGGGGGGCGCCAAGTCCATCCCCCATCCCCACCACCCCCAAGAGGCCTCCACAGCACAGCCAGCTGCGGAGAGACGGAGTCAGGGGGGCTCCAGCCAGGTCGGGCACCGGGAGGGACGCGCTTGGTGAGGGAGGGGCTGGGACTGCACCCCTCATCTCCTCGCTACCCCCAGACTCTCCGGCTCTGAGCTTCGAGGATGGGGAGAAGCCCGCAGCCATCTCCCACGACCCAGGCTCGGAGCAGCTGTACGTCGGGGGCCGGGGAGCCGTGCACGTGCTGACGTTCACCGAGGCTGAGGTCAACCAGACCCGGGTGAGAGCTGGGGCAGGAGAGGGTTGCTCGGCTCCTTGTTGGCTCCAACACAGACCCCTCTCCCCATGGCTTCGGGGTCACAGTCCCAGCACCAGGTGCCATCATGGGGGACGGGAGATCTGGCACCTGCCCGAGGGCCCCCTCCACCCCAACCCCCCCAGCCAGGGCAGGGAGCACTTCACAAGACCCCCATCTCCCCCGGTCTGGAGCCTGCAGCTTTGCTCAGGCCAGCTGCTGCCAAGGCAGCCACATGTCCATGGGCAAGGCTTGCCTAGCACCGGCGAGGCCCCGTGGTCCAAGCCTGGGTCCGGGTCCATGCAGAGCATCATCCCCTCGCACGGGTGACAGGGAGTGGCTGTTACAGGGTCACCCTGGCCCTGGCTCCCAGCTCTGCTCCTGGCCCTGGCTGCCTCAAGTGCCTCCTCGGTGATGCTGAGACACCCATGAGGCCTTTCTCCCCATCCCAGGGGCCACAGGGTAGGTCTGATACCCGCGCTCTCCTTCCAGGTTGTCCTGCCAGCTGAGGAGAAGGCACTGAAGGATTGCAAGAGCCGGCCAGGGGCCCAGCAGGTGAGAGGGGGTCCTGGGAGGGCCTGGCCCCAGGGACCTCAGCTCCAGGCACCCTCGGAGGCCAGAAGAGAGTCTAACACCCCCATGTGAACCCCCACTTGCCTTTGGCAAGGCTTGGAGCTGGTGTCACACAGCAATGGCTGTCCCCACCTGTCCCCATGCCCCTCAGCCGGTGCGGGGTAAGGGCAGCACTCGGACGCCTGGGTCCCATTCCCGGTTCCACCATGACCCCATGCCTGTCAGGGCAGTGCCGTGCGTGTACAACCCCATGGGGGGTGGGCAGGGGGCAAACGTGGCCTGAGGGCCACTGGTGCCAACCAGCTCTCCCCTGCTGTTGGGGCGGGGGGGGGTTCTCCATACAGGCCGAGTGCGAGAACTTTATCCGCGTGATCCAGCGGCTCAACAGCAGCTCCATCATCGTTTGCGGCACCAACGCCGGCTCCCCGCGGTGCTGGTTCCTGGTAAGTGTGGGAGACGGGGGACCCAGCATCCCATGAACGCTGGCTCCAGCCCCCGCTCAGTAGCACGCCCAAGACCTGACCCGCTGAAACTCCTTCTCCAGTGCAGGGGAAGTGGGTGCAAGCTGGGATCCAGGACTCCTGTGCCCCTTCCTCCTCGCTGGAAGGCGGGGTCCCGTGGTTGGAACTGGGTTCGATTCGGGACACCTGGGTTCTTTTCCCAACTCTGCCCCCGGCTCCCATGTCCTTCCCTGCTCGTACACTCGCATGGCCGCCACCAGCCTGCCGGGATCAGAAAGACCGGCTGGACGCCTCGGCCGGTGTGTGACCGCCGTGTCCCTTCCCTTCCCTCCCCAGACCAACGACATGAAGCTGCAGCAGAACAAACTGGGCCGGCTCATCTCCATCAACGGGGAAAACCTCTCCCCTGCGTGGCCATCGCAGCCTGCCGCCACCATCGCTGTGGGTAAGAGCCCCTCTGCCCAGCTCCCTCCTGTCAGCAGAGACCCCCCAATAATGTGTGTCTGTGGGTGTGTGGATCTCCACTGATACAACGGGGGGCTGGGAGCCAGGACTCCTGGGTCCTTTCCAGTGAAGGGAGGGATCTTCAGGGCTTAACTGGGGACCAGGACACACGGGTCTGCTCTGCTCTGTCATTTGTGGGGCTGTAATTACAGCTGGGCTTTATATTTTTTTGTTGCCCATAAAGCCATTGCACTGCAAACCAGGTGTCCACCACAGATGTTTCAGCTCCTTGGGCGTCCCCAGAGAAAAAGACCTTGCTTTTTAGTGTGAAACAAGTTCCCGGTTTCTAGGAAGAAAATGATCTGGGGCTCAGATGTCTTGTCCAGTCGAAACATCTTTGGGTTTTTCAAGCTCTTCTTTTTTTTTTTTAATGTTAAAAAGTAAAAATTTAAGGGAACTTGGGCTAGAAAAATGATTTCCCTGAAATAGCAACAATTTCCATTTGGAAGATGTCGAATCTGCAGGAAAAAAAATCAGAATGTGGTGAAATGAACAATTTTGGTGGTCTCAAATTGGCATTTTTTTCACCCAAAAAGGTTGGTGGGGGAAAACGTTGCCCAGGTCTGGGCTTGCCCCTCCCCAGGGCCCAGGGAGGAGAAGGGGGTTTTACATTCAGAGCACTCCCTGGCGGTCACATCTAGTCCAGTGCCCTGCTCAAGACAGGATCATCGCAGTTAACTCATCCTCGCCAGGGTTGGGCAACCCCGAAGTTCCACGTTTCCCATCTTTGCGAATAGTTTTGGTTCCTCTGAAAATCCTCTTGTTGGGGTCTGGAGGCAGCTGTCTGGTCGTGCTGGAAGGGGCCGGTAAATCCAGGCTTCAGGCTTTTGCTGGTTGCCTGTCGGGGCCAGGAAGGGCTCTTTTTCCCCCCTCACAAATGCTTCTGGCTTTTGAGGTTTCTTTTCCACCTTCCCGTGAAGCATTGGGATGTTGGCCACAGCTAAGGCTGGGGTTGGTGATGAGGTGTCACGACTAGTGCACGAATCCAGCCTGTGGTGGCATGGGGAATCGGCAGCAATAGGTGTCTCCCGTCTCTGCCCTATGCGTGCCTCCATCTCCCCGCTGAGTTCAGGCCTCCTCGTTGCAGTGGGGGCTGGGTGGCAAGCGGCAGCTCACTAAGTTTTCCCTCCCCTGGTCTCAGCGGCTCTTAAAAGCTTTGGGAAAACCCCTCGTGTGTAATGACCAGGCACATCACGGACACCCCTTAACTCGCTCCATCTCTGGCTCGTGTTGCAGAGGGCAACCTGTACTCGGCGCTGTCCCAGCAGAAAAGCACCATCCAGAGGAGCTATGGGCCAAAAAAGCTGCTCAGGACGGAAGACAAATGGCTGGCAAGTAAGAGATGCTCCCTGCGGGCCGGCTCCTGGAGGGTGCTCCCCAGGCGGGTTCGGGGGATTCTGTGAATCAAGGGTCTCGCTATCCCGGCCTGCATTGCTGGCTGCTCCCTCCATGCTGTTGGGGCTGGCCAGGTGATCCCCGCATGCCTCTGCAGCAGGGAGTGCCACAGGTGACCCCCATCCCATAGCAGTGGTCTGAGCTGGCAAAATCATAAGCCATGGCTTCGGAGGGAGCTCTCTGCAGCCTTTCATTTACATATGAGGTAGGCAGGAAAAGCTGGTGCTGTGGGGGCTGGCTGCATTAGAGAGATAGGGAAGGGGATGCAGATGGTCCAGATGTTCTACCCCAAGGACCTGCAACTTCCAAATTGATGAGAAAGTTCACGACTCTCATGATACAGGATCATAGGAAAGCCAGGCTGGAAGGGATCGGCAGGGTCACATCTAGTCCAGCCCACTGCTCAAGGCAGCATCACCCCTGGTTAAACCATCCCGGGCATTTGTCTGCCCAACCTGCTCTTGGATGGAAACTCCACCACCTCTCTAGATGCCTGTTGCAATGCTGGACCACCCTCTGAGTCAGAAAGATCCTCATCTCCAGCCTCAGTTCCCCCAGCTGCAACTTGAGGCCATTGCTCCTACTCCTGTCCCCCACAGTCACAGAGAGAAGCCCATCTCCATCCTCTCTGCCATCACCCTTCGGGGATTTGAAGATCTGTATCAAATCCCCCTCAGTTTTCCCTTCTCCAGACTAAAGTCCCTATCCTGAGACCCCCTCCGGACACCTCGGGATAACCCATGTTGAACTGAACATCCTTGCTCCTGGGACACTGAGGGAGCCACAGCTTGTCCTTATATTTTACCTCTCCTGATTTACAGAGAGGACCTGGAAGCTCCTTCAGGGGCTTAAAATAGAGAAAGCAAATCATCACATTAAGAAAAAAAATCTCATGATTGTTTAAGCCACTCTTGTAATTTCTGGAGGAGGTGAGGTTGGTGATCAGGGTGACTTTTGCCCCCACCGTCTGGCTAATCTTCAAGGAAAGGAGTCCCAGGGCCGGACCAGGGTGCCCAAAGCACCTGTGAAGTTATTTCACACTGGGTGTCTCTCCCCTTGTTTCCCTGCAGACACAGAGTTCATCAGCGCTGCCCTGCTGCCGCAGAAGGAAAAGACTCTGGATGAAATCTTCTTCTTCTACAACGAGGTGAACAAGATGGCGGGGCTCGATGAGGAGCCAGTGAAAGCCCAGATTGGACGGGTGTGCAAGGTACGGGTGTGCTGGCCCAGGCCGGCTGAGAGCTGTGGTCTTCACCTCCCTCTTTGAGGCTGATGCCATTAATCCTGGGCTCCTGGGGGGGTCGTCAGCAGGGAGGTTGACTGATCCTGGAAGCCAGAGCCTCTTTGGGCTCCAGATCTCTTGGCCACAGCTGGAACTACCTTGGTGTCAGGTGGCATGTGTCAGGGTGTTTGTAAGCCACCCTCAGAGGCACTGGATGCTGGCTGCAGCCCAGGCTGGGGATGGCAACTGGGCTGTGCCAATGATCCTGCTGGGACCAACCCTGGAAGACCTTGGTTAGAGCAGTGTTTCTCAACCTTTTTTGTACTAGGACACATCTGTGAACATCAATGGCCAGTCCCAACCCAGTGCCCCTCACTCCCAACCTGCCGCCCCCACCCCCAGCTCCCCAGTGTGTGGGGCAGGGTGGGTGTGTTGGGCCCTAAGCAGCCCCTCGCAGACTGGAGCTCTGCCAGCCTGCAAGGGAAAAGCCGCGGTTTCCCATGTTTTTCTGCTTTAAAGGAGAATCCGTTTTTAAAGTTTCATAGATTCATAGATTCATAGATGTTAGGGTCGGAAGGGACCTCAATAGATCATCGAGTCTGACCCCCTGCATAGGCAGGAAAGAAGGCTGGGCATAGATGACCCCCGCTAGATGCTTATCTTACCTCCTCTTGAAGTGCCCCACGCTCGGGGCGATGAACA